CCCCCCCCCCCCACCACCACCACCCTATCCCTCGGCCCAGGGATGCTGCTGCAACCCTCTCTCCTGTTCCTGTTCTTATGACCTAATTCTTTCCTAGTGCTGGAAATCCACCCCCTCCCACCGGGTCCACCTTAGGAGACACTGTTCTCTTAAAGGTCAAGGTCGAGGGCGGACAGGAGGAAGTTCCCACACCAGGCCCAGAAATCTCTCAGATGTCACTCCTACACGAGCTTTGTGTGAGCCTGTACTGGGGCTGGGAGTCTGGAGACACGTCCCTGCCCCAAGAACTGGTGAACCAGCTGGACGGGTGTGAGGGTTGCAGTGTGCCCGCTAGGGGAGGGGGAGGGTCCGGCCTCGCCTGGCAAGATACGTGCAGATACCAGCTTTGAGTGTGAGGAGCTTGCAGGCACCGAAGTTGACAGCGGGAACAGTGACAGGCCATGGTGAGGCTAGGGAGCTGCCAGGGGCATTCTGGGGGGGCCCAGGGAGGACTGGAGAGCTGGGGTCTGGGTGGGGGGCACAGGCAGGGCCTCTGATGGCAGCCACAGCAAGGAGGCTAGACTATCCTGGGGCGGTCAGCATGGGCGGGTCCCCAGAACTTAGATGTATCTATTCAGGCTTCTCCTGTCACGTTCCGTGCCCCCCCACCCCACCGAGCCCCATGGAATAGCCACCGTGCAGGCTGCCTGCTCTGCTCCCTCTCCATCAGGTCCTCTGTCTCCCACCAGAATTCTCAGATTCCACTCGGTAAATGCCTGTGCACTGTGCTGAGGGTGAGGACTGTGTCTCCCGCTCTCTCATTCCCTAACCCCCCCACCCCAACACGGCCTGGTGGGAGCTGCCTCTCTGGGCTCCATCCCGGGCAGCCTGAGCTGCGGAGTCACTGGAGGTGAAGGCTGGAGGTGGGGGAGTGGGGAGGAGCGTGGCCAGGCTCAGAGCAAGTTCTGGAGTTTGTGTTCCTACTCAGCTCAGTGAAATAGCTCCTGCCAAGCATCTCCTTAAAATTTCATCTCTCTTCCTGTTGGTGCCTATGTGGGTGGATTTCACCAGGAAGGAGGGGGTTTCTCTGGCACTCTCCCTCTCCACGCCTCTCCCTGAACCCTTTCGAGTGCCTGGCCCTTCTTGTTTACCAAGCTGGCACAGCGCTCAGCCTTTCCGGGGACCTCCTGGCCTCCCGTGCCCTCTCCTAGGGCTGGTCCATGTCCATGGGAGTGGTGGGCAGCCCTCTCACATTGTGGACCCCTGGCCACTGGCCTGCCCTGCTGCTTGAAATGCCCCTGTGGGTAAGTCCCTCCTTGGGTCTGACAGTCACTGAGGCTTCCAGAAGCCTCTGTGGGGACACACTTTGGACATCCAGCCCACAGTCCAGCCGCCCTCGGGCTTCTGCCTCTGCCCTGACCTGGAGGAGGGGTGGTGGTCCTGGCCAGGGGGAGGATGTGAGGACCGGCTGTGAGGGAGCTGACCCACAGGATCTGGCTTTTCAGGGCCAGCAGTTCCCTTTAACTTTGTCAGGAAGGTCTGAGGTCCCGTGTGGGGAAGTAGAGGGGGGTGAGTCCCGACACATGGAGGAGGTTCTGACACCTGTGTGGAGGGAGGGGAAGCTGGGAAGAGGCCCCTTGGGCAGAGGGGAGAAGATGCAGGAGAGGGCAGGATGCTGGGAGCATCTGGCCAGAACTCAGCTTTGCTTCAGCCCTCAGGGTGTGTGCTGGGAGATGCAGGGGCACCAGAGCATCCCCAGCCTGGTCCCGCCCCTGCTGCTCAGCTCAGAAACCCCCGCCACTCTGTTCAGCTGTCTCAGTACTGTCCCAGGGTTTGGGTAGAAGGGCACTGGGGCCGCATGCCACAGCCCACAGAGCAGGGGGTCTGGGATTCCTGGTGGTAAGATTTCAGGCTTGGTGAGAGTGTTCCCCCTTCAGCTGCACCCTGCCCTTCCGAGCAGCCACCAGGCAGCTCTGAGCTATGAACTCCTGAGGGCTGGACGGCAGCACAGAGGCCTCAGGTTGGGGGAGAGGTTTGGGGAGGAACAGAGAGTTCCATGGTTGGAGGGGTCAAGGACAGACCTGTGGGTGATCAGAAGGAAGTATGGGGCTCCTTATCGGAGGGACTCGGGAGACCTACAGAGTCAGAGAAGGGGGCGCTGAGGGCCCACAGCCTGAGGCTCCATGAGTCACGCAGCAGACCACCCTCCTGATGGGGACCATTCCACAGATTCTCTGAAGCTGTTTCTATGAGTGAACAGTTACAAGCACACAGAGCTCTTCTGCAAAACAACTGGTCTAACTCCTCAAAAATGCCAGCGTCCGAAAGAGGAAGGCGGAGTGGCTTGTCCAGGTGAAAGGCCTACAGAGACCTAGCACCCAGTGCAGGGCATGGCCCTGGACTGGATCCGGGAGTGACCAAAGTAAACGACTAGGAGTGTTGTACCCCAGCTCTGTGCTCAGCGGGGTCTTGTCAGGGCTCAGGGAGAGTTCAGAACAGAGATGAGGATGGACAGTAAAATCAGGATATGAACTGTTATTAGATGATAGTGATATCAGTGCTGCATTCCCTGAATTTGGCATTTCTGTCGTGGTTATAAAAAGAATGTCTTCTTGTGTTTTAGGGGTAAAGGGTCATATTCTCATAACATACTAGCTTTATTGTTATTATGCAGGATAGAGAAACACTGCAGATGTGGTAAATGTTAACAGTTGGGTTTACTGTTATGGTATTATTCTTGCAACTTTCCTGTTGGTTTGAGATTTTTCTTTTCTTTTTTAAAAATTTTTTTTATTTATTTCAGAGAGGAAGGGAGACAGAGGGAGGGAGGGAGGGAGGGAGGGAGGGAAGGAGGGAAACATCAATGATGAGAGAGAATCATTGATCAGCTGCTTCCTGCACATCCACCACTGGGGTCGAGCCCACAACCCGGGCATGTGTCCTGACTGGGAATCGAACCATGACCTCCTGGTTCATAGGGTGACGCTCAACCACTGAGCCGCACCAGCCGGTGGTTTGAGATTTTTCAGAATAAAACCTTGACTATCCGGAACTTGAGCCTTCAGAACTGCTCCCTCACGCCAGCCTGGGCTGGGAGTGGAGTTTTCTCTCTTTAGAGAGGGCCTATGTGGGGGTGAGGAAGGATCTGGCTGTTTCTGGGAGTGTGGCCACCTGCCTGGCCTGGGTCCCTGGGCCTGGGGGACAGGGGCTCTATTGGGACAGACAACTGCATTTTCTGTTC